GCAGCAGCAGCAGCAGCAGCAGGTCCCGCCTCACCCCCTCAGAAGCTCCAGTGAAGCAAACTGCAGAGTGCAGCAGCAGGCAGAGAGACTGGACATCAAATGCGCTGGCGGACTGTACGTACACAGCAACAGCAGCAGCAACAGCAGCAGCAACAGCAGCAGCAACAGCAGCAGCAGCAGGAGCAGCAGCAGCAGGAGCAGCAGCAGCAAGGACAGGTCAATAGACGCCGTAGCAGCGAAAACTGCAGTCGCGAGCTTCATAGTAGGAAAAGGAGTAGCAGCAGCAGCAGCAACAGCAGCAAGAACAGCCACTGCAGCAGCAGCAGCAACAGCAGCAAGAACAGTCAGTGCAGCAGCAGCTTTAGCAACAGCAGCAACTTTTGCAGCAGCAGCAGCTGCTGCTGCTGCCCCACCAGCAGCAGCAACAGCAACGTCTGCAGCAGCACCAGCAGCACGGACAGCAACAGTAGCAGCAGCGGCAGCAGCAACTTCTGCAGCAGCAACAACAGCAGCAACAGCAGCAGCAACGACAGCAGCAGCAGCAGCAGCAGCAGCAGCAACAGCCTGCCTGGTCGAGCAGCCGATGTGCTGCCTGATGAATTGCTGCAGTGACTCTCGGGTGTACAAACATCAGCTTGCTGAAAGCAGCAGCAGCAACAGCTAGCTGCTGCTGCTGCAGCCTGTCTGCATGCTTCTTGATTATCTTAGCCAGCAGCAGCAAAGTGCTGCCGTCCCTGTGAAGCAGCAGCAGCAACAGCAGCAGGAACAGCAGCAGCGACCAACTGCAGCAGCAAGTCAGCGGCAGCGACACTTGCACTAGCAGCAGCAAACTGCAGCAGCAGCAGCAGCAGCAGCAGCCACACACTGCAGCCGCAAGTCAGCAGCAGCAGCAGCCACAAAATGCAGCAGCAAGTCAGCAGCAGCAGCAGCAGAGAATGCGGACAGTGCAGCCATAGCGCGATCCTTGCAACAGCAGCAGCAGAAGCAGCAGCAGCACAATCAACTGCAGCAGCAGCAGCAGCAGCAGCAGCAGCAGCACCTGAGGTCTATTCTGGCCATAGCAGCAAGCAGCAAAACTGCATGCTGCGGCTCTATAGAAGAGAAGACACGGGGAATCGCTTTGATAAGGCCTCGCCAAAACCTAGCAGCAGCAGCAGCAGCAGCAGCAGCAGCAGCAACAGCAGCAGCAGGTGCAGCAGCTGCAGTGTAAAGGCCAGCAGTGACAGCAGAAGACACTGGAGCAGCAACGGCAGCAAAGGGCGTGGCAGCAGCAGCAGCAGCAGCAACAGCATGCGGCAAGCAGCAGCAGCAGCAGCAGCAGCTTCTGCTGCACCCGCAGCAGCGAACAGCACTACAGCAGCAGCAGCAGCATGCGGCAAGCAGCAGCAGCAGCAGCAGCAGCTTCTGCTGCACCCGCAGCAGCGAACAGCACAACAGCAGCCAGCAGCAGCAGCAGCAACAGCAGCAGCAGCAGCAGCAGCAGCAGCAACGACAGCATAAGTTGGTCCTGGCTTGACGCTGCTGAGCCCCAAGAAGAACTGAAGAAGACCGCCAGGAGAGCTTAGGGTTTAGGGTTTAGAGATTAGGGTTTAGGGTTTAGGGTTTAGGGTTTAGGGTTTACCTGATTGACCAGCAGCTCAATGATGTCCGTCTTTGGCAGTTCCAGTTTCCGCAGAGCGTTCAGCAGCAACGCAATAACCCTAAACCCTAAACCCTAAACCCTAAACCCTAAACCCTAAACCCTAAACCCTAAACCTAAATCTCGAGCGGCAATCTCTAAACCCCAAACCCCAAGCCATTTTAAATGGGCAGCAAAACAAAAGGCTGGCTAGATTCTATAGGCGCCGTTCGCGGGCCCGAAAAGAAAATAAGGGTTTAGGGTTTAGGGTTTAGGGTTTAGGGTTTGGGGTTGAGGGTTTAGGGTTTGGGACCTTTGACGGAAAAATCTTCTATTTGCTTGACAATAAGAGGAGACATCACCTCCACCAAACGCGCATCCCTATACCTGTAAACGCAAACCCTAAACTCTAAACCCTAAACCCTAAACCCTAAACCCTAAACCCTAAACCCTAAACCCTAATTTGCTTTCCAATTTGCTGCACCTGCATTTTTGCGTTCCTTTGCGCGGCGCTGCTTCCGCCTCTGCAGCTCCCGTGCCAGCACGCACTAAGGGTTTAGGGTTTAGGGTTTAGGGTTTAGGGTTTAGGGTTTAGGGTTTAGGGTTTACTTGACTCTGGCTACTGCATGCAGGGCGGTGGCGATTTGCTGCGGCTGCAGCACAGCAGCAACAAGAGCCAGCCGCCGCACTAAACCCTTCCAGAGTTTTTCATTTCTGCAGTTATTTGCTGCTGCTCTGAAAGCAGCAGCAACAGCAGCAGCAGGCTGCAGCAGGCGCGGCCCCGCTGCTGCTGCTGCTGCTGCTGCTGCTGCGTCGCCTGCTGCTGCTGCTGCTGCTGCTGCTCTGCGCCTGCGGCGCGGGGCCGACGGCCGCTGCAGCTGC